AACCTCACACACACACCAGATTCACATCATTTAAAGAGTTCTTCCACTGTTTGTGCACCACCACCATCATGACCTCTACCTTCCAATCCTGCAAAATGTTTTTAGCTGTGTGAATTTGCACACAAACATACAAGTGACACAAATGATCTCTTGGCAAGAGATCACGAAGCTGGGAGTAGATAGTTACCCCAAAGCCTCTCTGAAGCATGTCCTGTAAAAAGAGGCACTTGTAAAACAAAATGCATTGTGTTAATAATTAGTGTGCATTAGAAGGAGCAGTAGGTAAAGCTAGCTGCTTGTTTTTCTTGATTCTTAACCACCAGACAATTAAGCACCATTTTAATCCTGACTGATCAGAAGACTTTCCAAGAAGATTTGATGGTTTCTTGGAAAGTTGGGAGAGATTTATCAGTGCTCGTACCAACTTCAACCCAATTCTCTTGCTCTTCACAGAAAAAACTATCAGAAGGTGATGGAGGAGCCTCATGAAGAGTTTTGCAGCAGATAGCTGCTGGACAGAAATAATGGCGGGACGTGTTGTCTCGTCCTTGGATATTTGTGAGCATTATGTTCCTGAGCGTTCCAGATATGCGTCCCAATTTCTCTGACAAACAAATCTCTCATAGTGGCAGGGGCCATCCAAGAGGGAGTCATTGTTCAGAGGAGGAACATGGCAGCATCCTTTGAGTTAGACCTCAGTAGTTTTGCAGACTTCTTAAGCAGAGTGTCTGGGGATCCCTGTGGGCATCACGTCGCTGGTTTTGCTTTGAGGCTGGGCGTGGTGAGAACCGGGCTTTCAAAAATCTCAGTTTTCCCCAAGGCAAGCCTGGGGCAGTTTAGCTGGCCATCAAACAAGGCACACTCTGAACAGAGTAGAAATGGCCCTATCAGGTTTTCCCCAGAGGGCTGGTGCCGCTTACTGTTCTCCATGATGGCAACTCAATAATAAAACTTCATTTGTACACTCAGCAGCTTTTTAGACGTGGGGTGTTGCCAGAGTGCTCTTAACCGATCCAGTAATGGTGGCGTCTTTAAAGACAGCGTTAAGCGTTGTGACATGGATGCAACAGTGTATTAAATATTTAAGAGTCTTATAGGTTTTATAGCTTTCTTATATAGCACTATTAGAGCAACCTAAATAAACATAACTGCTAAGATACAACATTTTATAAATTAATTATAAGAGTTGTTTGGGTGTTGTCTAACCTTCAGGATAATTAACTGGCTGAAAATGACATGCACTAATTAGAAAAAGTCAAAGCCTGTGAAGGGTCACTAAGTGAAATGAGGTGGCTCTTCAAAAAGTGCCCTTTTGCCGACATTTACATCATTTATTCATGTGACCGAGGAGCGTGTTGGGCTACATCAGAGGACTTCATTACCTCGAAGTAGGCCCAGGGAAAACTCAAAGACCTCACCGACCATCAGGAAATAACTCGCATCTATTCACCACAAATCAACATCTGTTATGTTACAAGGAAATCAGCTTTCTGGTTGTGATGCCCCTTATTTTCTTTTTTTCCCCCTCATTGAACGATTCTGTGGATTCTTTATAAAGTTAAAGATTTTATAAATCAAATTGTTCCCTCATACTTCCTTACATAATATATTGTCTAAAAGTGTGGAAAACATCTGTAAAAAACACTGAGTTTGGTTTCTTTTTTTTCTTTTTTCTTTTTTTTACAGATGTTTCAGTGTGTTTCTTCAGGATCATAAATAAAAACACACATCTGTTCAAAAACAAACAGTTATATTTATAACTTCTGTTCCCTGAAGGAGAGGAATGAGGTACAACACATAAGTATGGGATATCACGCCCAGTGTGTCCTGGCTGAAGTGATGACATGCGCATGGCCACGCCTGCACATGTGCCCCCGTCATCACAGTGATCCCTCAGTTTGCTAGCTGTTCCTTACCGAACCAAGCTGTGCAGCAGGTGGAACCTTGTGTTGTACCTCGTTCCTCTTCTTCAGGGAACAGAAGTTATAGATATAACTGTTCGTTCCCTTTCAGTCGATTCACTCTGTACAACACCTAAGTATGCGACAAATTTACACGCCTCGCTCTGCGCGGTGTACTACCAGCACATTAGTGTGTTTGTGTGTGACCCAGCAGAAAGGATAGTATGAGCTACCGAAGGGGCTGTAATGTCCAAACAATAGCACCTGACAAAAGTGTGCAGTGATGGCCAACTAGGTGCAGCTACAGGTACCCGGAATGAGCTCTCACACCTGGGGCTCACCGTTAGTGCTGTACGTCAGTGAGATAGCTTCTATAATCCAGTGGGACAGCCTCTGTTTAGACAAAGCTCTACCTCTGGCTGGATTAACAAAGCAGACAAACAACTCGTCACAAAAAAGAACATTCTCAATGTAGGTACGTAGCACACACACCGCACACAGAGAATGGATCCTCCTCTGCTTCTCAGATCCAAAAGGAGGGGACCAAAAGCTCAGAAGCTCAAATTCAATTGAGCTATAAACTGCAGGAATGAACTTGGGTAAATATGTGGCATTTGGGCGCGATACATCCCCGAGGCCATCAAGAGAGAACTGACCCTTAACTATCAAATTTGACCTTTCAGCAGGTAAGCATGAAGGTGCCAGAGATCCGGGTGTGGATGAATCACTTCCATCACCCTGCAGAGAGGAAGCTTGCCAAGGCCTTGCTGCTAATAGGGTGATTATCTCCACATACCACGACTTTGTTGGCCACCAACAGGCTCCTAGAATCAGAGCGAGGTGTACTCTCTCTAGAACTGGAGATATCGTTTCCACTGGGGGAAATGCAGAAGCAGAAGCACATCTGGCCATTGGTGGGCTAGTGCATTAAGTGTCCTGGGGTGCATCTTGTTCGCCTATGAAGAAGAACAAGGGGCAGTGTGTTCACCCTGGAGGCAAAAAGATCTACTTGCATGTCACCGAATAGATTCCATGTCTCTAGTTAGGCTGTAAGGACGGCATCAGATATTTATTACAAACACGTTAACCCTTACATACATATGGTCAAATTTGATCTGTTTTGACATTTGACAGCAGCAACAAAACCTAATTCACATTCTTTTAGTCTGAAATTTGATGACTTGTTCTAAATTGTAAAATATACACTTAAATGAAAATATTTTAAATTGCACAAAGATCTTGACTTGTATCTATAGTGATTGAATTTAGATCCACCAGTGTAAGTGAAATAAAATAAAATGGTAGTTAAACACAAGTTTGAAACTGAAAACTCTACATGGCTTGTCTCTGTGGATTTCTTTATGGGATTGTGGTGACAGAGTTCAAGGAGGACCTCGACACCATCATGAGAAGTCTGTTCCCACAGAGACAGGCACCTGCAGGTCTTTGAAGGATCATGTGGACAGTGTAATAGCAAAACACTGTAGAATCAATCATATAGGGTTCACATAAGGAACAGAAGTCATACAGAGCTCAGCCAATGTCTTGACATGGACACAAGCTCCAAAATAGGGCGGCTCAGCGCTGCAGTGGTTAACAACATCACCTCATAGCCAGGTCTGTGGTCTGAATCCTGGTTGTGGCCTTTCTGTGTGGAGTGCACATTTGTCCTACTTTGACTTCCTCACACAGTCCACAGATGCTTCTCAGGTAGATGGTGCCTGAAGTGTATAGAATGAAGTGCTGCGTTAATATAAGGTTAAAGTGTGGCTTGTAGTCAAAAGCTCTTTGTGGCGACTGGTCACTAAGACTAGAATAGCACCGTATGAATGCAAGAATGCTGTGTGCCTGCTAGTGCCTTACAATGTAAAAATAACCAAACATTAATCAAATAAAGGTGGGGCGATTGTGGCTCAAAAGTTGGGAGGTCGCCTTGTAATCGGAAGGTTGCCGGTTCGAGCCCCGGCTTGGACAGTCTCGGTCATTGTGTCCTTGGGCAAGACACTTCACCCGTTGCCTACTGGTGGTGGTCAGAGGGCCCGGTGGCGCCAGTGTCCGGCAGCCTCGCCTCTGTCAGTGCGCCCCAGGGTGGCTTGCCATCACCAGTGTGTGAACGGGCGGGTGACTGGATATGTAAAGCGCTTTGGGGTCCTTAGGGACTAGTAAAGCACTATACAATACAGGCCATTTATCAAATAATAATCTATTTATTCTGAGCCGATATTAAAACAGACATAAAAAGAAAGACTGTGAGGGTCATAAGACTATGGAGGGACCTGAGCTGCCATTTCAGCAAGTGTATGTGTGTTCAAAACACACACACACAAGGTTTCTTACCACTGCTTTGAATCCACAGACTAGTTGGGTCAAGTTTTGTATTTATAACTTGTACTTATGACATTTTTATGACATAGAAGTGAGACCAGTGTTTAACTCTTCTGATGTTATTGTACAACCATGTAATGGTTATACGAGGTTATATAATAGATCCTAACAGTTCTACGCACCATTTTCACTTTGAATATAATAATATTAAAATATAGATATGACATGAATTATCGCTATTAGGCTTTCATGTCTTAGTGTGTGAAGCAATAGCTTGTGATAACAAATGTTTGTTTTTTTGTGGAGGGACAGAACATGATCAATATGTGAGGGTTAAATGTTAAAGCTTTAAATAACCTTAAATAAACATGATATCGTTATTATTTACAGTTACACTTTAGGTGCCATCAATAGGAAATTATGTTAGCGATGGAAAAAAAAAATGGTTTCATGTCCAATTAATTTTGCACATAAATGGAAGAAGAAATTAAAGTGGCCAAACCAGAAACAGCAGTTGAATTACTAACATGTTAGAGGTACACGCTATTCTTGGGTTTCATCATGCCAATATCTTAAAGCAAGAACTAATTAAGGACATGATCCACGATGACCTGCATTCAATGGAGCACTTCAGACCATTTCAGGGCAGGGGGGGGGGGGGGGGGCACGTAATTTTCAAACAACTGCTCAAAATAACCTCAGAGTTGGGAGACAATTTCAGATTACAAGTGGTGATAGTTTCAGAGACGCAAACAGGTAATAAATGCAAACAGCTTTAGGCCATCAAAACTCTTTATTATTCACAGGAAATTATTTATTTATAAAGATTTCCACAAAAAGAATTGACCTTCATAAAGTAAATTTCTTTAACAAAAATGTTCCCCTGATTGAATTAATCTTTCTTCTCAGGAAAGAATACAAACACACATTAATTAATTCCTTTAACAAATACACACAAAAGTAAACATGGAAATCTGTCCATTGTCCTTTTCTGTGCCCGGTCCTGCAGAGACCTGCACTTCAGACAGTGTCTGCCTGCTTAAGTCGTGCCTGTATGAAGGGACTTAGAGTGAAGGGGCTTATTGATCGTCTTCTATGAGTGAAGTCCAGGCATTAGTTCCAGCAGGGTGAGTCGACAGCTGTCCATGAGCCACTCTACTGGGCCTACATAGCAGGGCTGAGTGGAGCTGGGATGTGCACTTTTGATTTTGATCTCCCCAACATCACTTCTATTGACCGATGCACTGTCCTGTGCCTTACTTGCTGAGAGAAGCACTTGCTGAGGCCTTGCTGGAAACCCGGACACAAGCCACTGTTGCATTATCCGGGCTGCCGTTGACAAGCTTGTGATGATGAATCTTCCATGGTCTGTTGAGACCCAGCCCTAATCACTGCTGTCATCTACTGGCAACTGCTGTATCCACTGACCACAGCAATCACAAGTTGGGTTATCATGGTACACAGGGCTGGAAATTCCAGTGTTTGTTATCTAGATATAGATGTGGACTCTATCCAAAGTTGGGTCAATCTGTTGTGAGAGCAGCCCACTTTTCCACATCTAATTTTTTCTTTGAAGACCAGAAACTTTTAGTGGCAGGTTACTTTATACTTTTAACAGAATCCAATAAAAATAATTGTCATTTAAAGCTATTATTATTTTCCAAACCCCCAAAGAAGTATCCAACAGTCAATCTTGACGTTCTGGTTAAATTGATCTTTTTGGATTTGGGAATTTTAAACTCATGCTGGAATCTGAAATGTCCATGGTTACACATTAAAAAAAAAAAAAAAGTTAAATAAGGAGGTAGGGACACCCATGTGCTTTATGTGTTTGTGTCAACCAAAACTTAGTATTTTACATCATTTGTGGTAGCCCAGTTGTCTTAACCCTATTTTGTAAGACAGATAAAGCTGTGAGGGGCTTACCACTTGATCTGGTGACACAGGCTTGCTTGTTCCAGTTCTCAGAGACTAAGAAAAAAATCTCGATATATCCTGTGTCATCCTGATGTAGCACCTGTGCATGAATCCAAAGAGAAAAAAAAAAATACAGTGATACATTATTATTTATATTTCATTTACAAATAATACACTTCCAACTAAAATTTGACAGTTCTTAAAAAAAAAAAAGAAAAGGAAAAAAGAAAGGCTCCTTATGAACACAAAAGAACCAATGGTGAGTTCTGCCATCTAGTGGTCATTAAATGGAATGCAACAAATGGAGGCCTCAAATGCTTCCAAGCTTGCCTGTACCCATTATTAATTACATTCCTCCCTTTTCTCTTCTTTAAGTTTAATATAATACACCCCAGAGAGTCTGATCAGTTTATGAATCCCAGTGAGTCTCTGGGTGCCCATCATTACTGGATGACATCATTTTCTTAGCTCTCAGCAGCCTTCGGCCCTCCTCGTAGTCGTCTTGGTCCACACTGATCAGCAGGCGCACGCCTTCGGAGCCCGCTGCGTTCCTCAGAGAGTCCGTGATGAATACTCCCTTCAGGGCCTCCAGCAGAGCTCCGCTCAGGTAGTCACTCCAGAAAGCCTCGAGGTTGGCCAGCTCCGTGAACTTGATGTCGCAGACGATGGATCCCAGGTCTCTGGCACGCAGCAGCGAACTCGCTTGACTGAACAACTCAAACTGCCGCTCCAGTGGCTGCCGCTTGTCCGAGGCGACGCCGTTGCGTAATGCCGATTCGTGCTCCAGGTATTCCGCCCGGACACGCAGGCGGATATCTGATAATGGCAGAGGGAGGAGGAAGTAATGATGGACAAAAGGGTGAGTGGCAGTGAGGAGAGAGAGTAATGGTAGGAAGAGCAGAGGGGAAGTAAAAAAGGAAGGAGGAAAGTGAAGGTTAACCAGAAAAAAAAAAAAAAAAAAAAGAGAGAAAAGAATGGATAGGCCCATGACAGAAAAGGAGGGGTGATGAAGTTGAAACAAAGACGGGGGAGAGAAAGAAACAAACATGAAAACAATGTTAAAAGATGGCTCATTCAACTTTGTGCAAGACATCAAGCAAAAAGAGATTGTAGGAGTACTAACTGGACTTAAATATTTGATTTTACCAAATCATGACAAAGTAAGTGAATACGGTGGTGGAACAGGGCAAATTATTTACGAAGGGCAATGGACTTAGACCAACCCATGTGAACTTTTGTGCTCAATACAGCTACAAGCCCCTCTCGTCTGTTTCAGTGAAAGATATTCAGAGCACTGAGAGAAATCGTCTTTAGCTCATCCGGCTGTGTAGATCCCTTTTCTTTTTTTGGATGGACAATTCCTTTTTAGGTACTTATGGTTTTTAGCAACATGACTGAATCAGAAGACGCTGGTGCATGAGAATTTTCTGTACGACAGCCAGCATGGTCCTCATAAATCACGGCTGTAGCGTTTGTATACTGAATATGATTAAATGAACTTGGCACCCTGAGCAAATATCGCAGCGGGGGTAACAAAAACAACTCAGCAGTGACAAGCCCGGGAGTGGCTTTTGTTCCTGACAGGTGTTTATAAAGGGCAGATTCATTCAGATCAAAATGGGTAAGGCTGAGAATAGATAGCGTCTGGAGTTCCGTAGTAACAGGATTGGTGGTCATGCAACAGCACAGCGAGAAAGATTAGAGGATACATACTGTACTGAGCAAGAGCAACGCTGAGATCATCTCCCATGTCATTAATCCAGAGCTCCAAGTGGGAAATCAGCTTCTGACGACTTTTGCTGCAACAAAAATCCATTTCTCCCATTCAAACCCCTTTAGCAGATGTAAACAGTATTTACCAGCAACATTTCTTCCAGAAACATTCGCATTAAGAGTCTCACTGAATTCATGTGCAGAAGCTGCTTTTTCATATTTGCATCTGAATGCATGATGACATTTTATGAAGCAAATAAGGAAGAAAAAAAAAAAAAAAAAAAACTTACAAAGGAGCACTGTGACTAAAAATAAACAAAATGGCTCAAAGGAAAAAGAAATCAAATTAGCTTTAAATGCTACAACATGAAATACTTAATTTTGAAGGAATAAGCAGCACATGGTCACATCACAAATGTTTGAATGAAATGGACCCAGAGGTACTTCTAATAAACTCACGCTTGCCTCTGACAAAAACCCAGAGTATAAGGTAAGCATGATTACGAGACTGTCTTGAACTCTTCTTCATGTATGTACCAGAGGATTAGTGTACACTTTAACACACGTTTTGACTTGAGAGTCACATCCACCCCTCTTGCAGCCATGTTTTGTTTGGGGCTATAGGGAATGGCGCGAGACTCAAGAGGGATAAAGTTTGGAAAATGCCAACATTAGAAATGCAAATGTTGAATTAAACCATTGATTTTGCATCTCTTAACATTTGTAGAAGAGCAATAAGCAAACAGTGGCTTTGCATTCATGCCCCACAAGTCTGTAATTAGATTACTATAAAAACAGACGACTTGTTAGAAGGGGACACTAAATCAACACATTTTAAGCCATGTTTAAAATGTGTAGTTTTTACATGAAAATCATTTGAATGAAGGAAGAATGTTTTCTTCAAAAGGGATTTATGGTACAAAAATATAAAATGTCAAGATTTTTTTAAAGAAACCTTCGATTATAGTTCAAGTTTTGTTTATTAAATCATGTCTGTGTTACAATGTTTCAATAAATTATGTTAGACTAAAATAACTTTTGTGGTAAATTCATTGGCAATACAGAAGCCAGACACATAGAAAAACTGTTGCACCAAAGATCATCATCACAGAATGTAAAACATCTGTAAAAACTATTCATTCCCTTTATATGTTCATTTAATATTTTAAAAAAAAAAAGTTGGGCTAGTACTATAAATGCATTACAAACACTTGAGTGATTTGTCACTCTAAAGTATTACTTAGAGAAAAGCTAAGTTACATGACTCATCAGTTTAATATCATGAAAAAAATTGCTCATCTCTATAGAGCACACTGTACTTGTGCAACATTTAATGAAGAAGAGCACCAAGATGTCTACAGGAGGTCTACACAATCCTAAAGCTGACATGGAAACACTACCTATAAAACCAGCGGGCTACTATAGAGGAAGCTGGCATTACAAAAGTGGAGGATTCACGTGGAATTAGGCTTATTTTATGAATTCTGCCCACTGCTTTCACAAGTCAGTAACTCCTCACCACTACAAAACATTATCCCCATAAGTGTGATGGTGGCTGCGTCATGCTGTGTGGAGGCTTCGCTGCAGCAGCTTGTGACGGTAGAGGGTAAATTGAATGCAGCAAAACTCCTGAGAAATCCTGAAAGAAACCCGCTGCAGTCCGAGTCACATACGTTTTCAACACAATAAGCTACAGTTTTTCACCCCAACAGATTTGTGTTGACTTCGAAACTCACACTTGTTGATCACTAGCAGGAGTCCATTGTGATTTAATGAAGTTATATAAAAAAAGATTACGTATCCATCGTTGTGGCAAGCACATGGATAAATTTGCAGTTTGAGCATTTTTGTGTTTTGAGGTGTGAACTATCATAGAAGATTAAACAGACTACACATAATCTAACTTTATACAATATTCAGTATGGACAGAGGAAAATATGAAGTTCGAGCACCATTAACAATTTGACCTTTTTGGATCATTATAGAGTGTGTGAGGGCTGAGGGTACAATAAACACCTGCCCTTCATGCAATTACTCTATTTATGGATGTCCTCCATTTTGCCTTCCCATTTCATACTGAGGAGGATGGAGGCAGAGATAGTGACAGTGAGGAGGCCATTTAAAAGCACAGGAACACAGTGATAGTCATTTTGTTAGGGTTACAGAGCACTTCACGCTTCATCACACATAGAGACATCCACTTAGACAGGACATTAGGAACCACAGCTTTCATTTTCTCACTTTAAACACCAAGTCCGTTTGGCTCCTCATCTCACCCCACCAAAAGGAGGGAGGGGGGGAAAAGAGAAAAAGTTTAAGTACCCATTTACGAGGAGTCACTTGGCACGGAGAGCTTCAACTCTTTATCGATCCGTTTTTCTGTTGAACAACTGACCAAGAGAGTGGAGAGTTAGGGGGGTATTGAGAGACAGGCAAAATATCTGTGTCTGCCTGAAGAACTTTTTCCCTATAGTTTAAAAAAAAAAGAAAAAAAAACCCATAAATCCTCTGTACCGTTTTGTGTAGTTTGAATATTTACTGTTCATTCTCTCCTTCTCTTTGTGTGTGAGGATATAGTTTTCCTGACACACAGGGTGCTCTGTTTAGAACTGCGAACACAGACAAAGGAGAGAAACAGACAAGCACAAGTGGGTTGCATAGTGGTTAAATGGACTGTTCCTCCCCCAACATCAAGCAGGCATGGCACAGCAGTCACTTCTTAGTTTTAATGAGGCTTCAGTAAGGCCAATAGTTTGCATTGGCAAATTAATCAGCTGAGAAATGCATTCACTGCTCTGAACTATAACAAGGTAAAATCTAAATGGGATACTTGGATTACCCTTACCTTGACCAAATCTCTTAACCTTACCTTCCGGCCCTTTTTTTGTGCCGCACCGTTAATCAACAGTGCTCATTAAACCAAGGAAGGGCCTTCACAAGCACCCCATTTAGACACAAAAACACTACTGAGCTGAATGTGCAAACACCTTTAAGACATTTGTAACAGCAGTTGTCATTGTCAGAATGTAATTGAGATACTTCACTGAAAATGACCTAAGAGATGATGAATGGTGACAAGAAAGAGTATTTGAGGTCTGTTCAAATGCTATGGGCCAGCATTGGACTGAACTGCCCTATCTATCTCTGCTCCGTCTTGACAAACGCACACCAGGGCTCTCACAGGGCACAGAGATAAGATACAGCATGAGCTTCCTTCAGCAGAGCACTGTTCGGTGATTTTCCCCAGAACGGCTTGAGTAAAGGTTACATGGACATTTTTTTCTTTTTTTTTTAAAAGAGCTGTCTGTTGGCAGCCATTTTAGATTTGGTGCAATTGAATACATGGCCTTACAGAACAGGACTCTATGCCCAATTAGGATTTTTTTTTTTTTTTTTTGTCTCTTGAGCATCCAGAACTGGCATCGTGATGTTTCAGTTTGCCAAAATAATATGAGTCAGTTCAATTCACAGGGCAGCCATTTATAAGCCTTGCACGTCTCCAGTGGGTTCATATGCAGTGCTGACTCGTATTTTCACAAACATGTCCAACACATTTCTGTTTCCACTTTGAGTTAAACTCTTCAGTGTACTTGTTCTAATTTTATTTTGTAAAGCCTAATTTATCTCACCATGACCTCAGTCAAATATAACCTAAATCTCTGTTTGGGTTAGGCATCAGACATTACGTTTTCTTAATAAATGACCAGAACAGCTTTCACTTCTGCATTACTACTGAAACTTTCACCACAGCTAAAAACCTCCATGATTTCATCTGGTGTCATCCTCTTTAATAACATTTAGAAACTCCACTGTCTAACATGAGCAAAGGTCAGGGCTGGTGCACAGTGGCCATTTCAGAATATGAATCATTCAGACTGAACAATAGTAGGCTGGAGCAATTTGCTTTAAGTCTGGTGGCTTCCTTGACAGGCTGCTGAATTTTATTAAAGTAGCAAAGTTAAGCAGACATTTTTCTGTAAGCTTCCACAATAATCTTTCTGCATGTTTTAATTTGATGTTGTCCAAGACAAAACTAGATTTGTGCAACTTCTCTCAGCTCTCTTTTTAGGCTTTAGCCCATGACTAGAGACTGACCAATTATGTCTCTGTAAAGCACTTTGAATCACCTTGTTGAATTGTGCTATACAAATAAACTTGCCTTGCCTTTCCAGAGAGAGAACTGGCTGTTGTACAACGAAGGCATTCACCACCCTTCATACGATGAAAAGTTTAATTAACTGTGAAAAGTTCTGCAGGAAAATCTGAAATGGCAGCTCTAAAATGGAAGACAGACTGACTCTGACAGTACACATACTTGCTGTATTTTTCCTCGGTTACTACGCTGCCAACTTAATTTTCCTGTAAGATTGAACTGTGCTGCATTGGTTTCCCAGGTTGTGTACGTAAATTGAGGTTAGACAATGTGATGAGTGGCTATGTTGTCAGTGTGGCTAACAGTTTAGTTTTCTTTACAGCGAAAGGTTTTCAGCTATGCCTAATTCAATGTCCTATTCTTGCCCATATAAAGCATCTGGTCATCTGGTTGGAAGAAGTTAGTTTCATTCTTTTCCCAAGCCTTACTCACATTTACTGGAATTTCTGCTGGACATATTTGTGAAAATATGTTAAGTTCCCGTGATTTCAAATATTGGGGAATTTAAAATACTTTCGTTACACGATTCCCCTTTTGGTATGCTTTGAGTAAAATCAAACTGACTCAAGGTTTTCCCAAGATCACTGTACAGTCTTTGGGTTTGAGACTTACTGCTGAGGACTCTGGTAGTTCTGTGAAACACTGACACCAATAACTCTTGTCATTAATAGGCAGGAAGCTAAAAATCTCAAATAGAAGCTTTTTTTCTTCCACAGTGCACAAGACTAGAGAATATTACAGGATGATTTTTTCTGTTAAAGCAGATTATGTTTTCTGAAGGAGACAGGGTAAGGAGCAGCTACATTATGATACACAAGCATCGTATACAGAGCAAAGTGGCAGCACCAACCCCTGCTGTAACAAGGGGGAGAGCCTCTTTTACCTTAGGCATCGGCCCAGACTTGTGAGAGAGCGCATGACTGAGTTGATCGCGCACACTGCAGTATGTGCAGACAGAGTGGAGTGACAGACTTTTTTGTTTTGTTCCTCAGTCTCCATGATCCATTGTGTCTTAGGTTACTCGATCTGAGTCACATTCTTGAGTCAACCTGGTGGAATCAAATGTGGAGTCAAGACAGCAACAGTTCATAGTCACAGGCACATCACTCATCCTGAGTAGCTAAGAAAGGCTGTCCTTAATGATTTCTTCTTCTTTTATTTTTTGAATGAAGTGAGAATCATCGGGCTTTTGTTGTAATGAATATTTCTGACCAACAGGCAAAGATGGACATTCAAAAGAAGTTTGGGAAAGTCTACATGAATGACTAAGCAAACTTCACACAAAGGGAAACTGATGTTAGTGTTATCTCTGTCTTTTTGTACCAAGACAAACTACCATTGATTTCTTAAAGGCAGGTAGTAGTGGAAATATGGGCAAGGACGTTGACAATGGATTACATAGTGCAGCTTTTCAGTGGCGTTAAGACAGTTTCAAACAACTGCTAAAAAGTGATTTTTGGGGGATATGTAAGGTTTGACAGTTGTCAGAACCACTCTGGTTCAAGCTTAGCAATAAAGCAGAACAATGGCTGTATCTGGTAGTGATTGGACTGGACACTTATATTGAAAGAAAAGGGAAGAAAACAAAAAACAAAAAAGGACAAGACACAGCCTACCAGTGAGCATTCTTATCAACAGCAGCAGCTGAACATAGTCCAAAAGGTTAGAGAAAAGAGAGGTGGAATGAAGGGAAAAGAATATAAAGGACTCCCACAGGGAGAAACTGATAAGGCAACAAAACTCTGATGTTGTATGTTTAAAAACGACAGTTAAAGGGTTATCATTAAGTCTCAACAAGATCATAGTGTACCAACAAAAACATAATGTGGAAATGCTTTAAAAAAAAAAAAATCAAAGGGAAGCGCATCACATTGAGTTCTCAGACTTAAAAGTAGCTCTAGGATTTTTAAGCACATTTGGTACTAACATAAAAAGTATGAGCGCTGTGGCCTGTACAGCACAGAGAGCTTTAGGCAATATTGCAGTCCGGATTTTTCACCAAATGTGACACTGGGTTGAAAAACAAAACAGAAGAAAAATAAAAGTTTCCTCAACCCTGGAACATGTTTGGACTCTGTGCAGCTCCAGGAAGAGGTAAAGTACAGTGGCCTTTGCAAGCACACCATCTTCCACATTTTTATAAGTAGGTGTGAATCTAGTGTACCGCTCTGTGCTATTTAGGGATGGGAATCGAGAACTGGTTCTTGTCAAGAACTGGTTCCCAGTAGTCTACTTCCTTCAAATCGTTAGTCTGCCTGCCTATCGACCCTGCTTATCCGTTCTTGCACTCTTGCTACATTCAGCTGATTTAGTTTATGTGTAAGAGGAGGAAAACAGTAGTGCAGTTTATGACGTGAATATGGACTTTTATTTTATTTTTTATTGTATAAAAGGATGAGAGCGCAATGGTAAAGTGGAAACTGGGACAGACACAACTGCCTTATACTGTTAACACAACTTCAACATTCCGCAAGCACAGCATGCTAACGCTAAGCGGTAGGGCTGCACGATTAATCGTTAGAAAATCGCGATCTCGATTCATACTTATGTGCGATCTCATTTCCAAATGACAACGATTAAAAAAAAAACAAAAAAAAACAAAACGACGACGACTGTACCGCATTTTGATCCGGGACGTACTCTGCATGAAAACAAGCGCTCACTCTTCCTGCTCAACAAATGACAAGGGCGGAGCCTTATACCACGTGATACAGAAGCTGCCCCGTGAGACGAAAAAAAGAACAGGAAAAAAAAAACAGAGAGCACGTCAGGGATGACGAGAAAGTGACAGGAGAAAATCCGTCCCGGTCAACCACCCAAACATCAATAACGGGAACCTTATACAGCGCTTCCCTATACCCCTCGAACTCCCGCAGGCACAAAGAAATTACGGAGGCTATTACTTATCACCTGACCAAAGATATGGCTCCCATCAACACTGTGCAAAACGAGGGATTTAGGAAAATGATCAACACCCTAGACAAACGCTACACAGTGCCGTCCCGCAACTATTTTTCTATTGTTGCACTACCTGCTCTATACACGCAGCGTCGAGCAACGGTGGAGACGGAATTTCAAGCAGTACAACATTTTGCGGCAACAACAAAACGTGAGACATTTGTTGTTTTTATGTTTACTTATTGTTTTTATGTTCAGTCTCAACTGTTACGAAGTTGATGTGCAGTTAATAAGTGCAATAAATATTTATACTGGAAAAGAGAATCGTGAGAGAATCGTGATCTCAATTCTAAGCCAAAAAATCGTGATTCTCATTTTATGCAAAATCGTGCAGCCCTACTAAGAGGAACTCAGAGTGATGCTAAAGCTGAGTGAATGCTGACTTAAGCCCAGCACCATGATAAAGTGATCCATCAGTTATGGTGAAGCAGCCACTGCTGAACTTCAACAGGTAACAAACTGATGAGCAGTCATACTGCAGTCTCCGTTTCTACAGTGGAATCACCAAGACGATTGCTTTAAAGTCTCTTGGTGATGGTTTTTTATCCTCGACTTGCATTGTCGGCTTTGTGTTCATACCTAAATACTAAGAGAAAGATCACGTTTGTCCTTATTAGGATTTGTGATTATGAGACGGTCAGTTTCAGATCATTTTACAGAGTAACACTAAAGTAATGTAACAAGTAGTATAACAAATGTCTTTCTCCTGGAAGTAATTAAATAACGTACTGCATTACTTTTAAGAAAAGTGTTCTGTGAAATATGTGCAACAACTTTTTAAATTTATTTTTTTGAGTAGTGACCCCAACACTGATCACAACAAAGAGGGGAAATGCCTCCAACATGCACAAACATTTCACCACCTAGTTAATTACGTACGCAATTAATTTGCATGTATTTAATATGCTGCTTAGAAGTGCTGGCGACTCTCAAAGTGGAGGCAATGAGAAATCGATAAGAAACCGAATCAATAAGCAAAATCAATAAAGAAATCGGAATTACTAAATTCTTATCAATTACCATCCCTACTGCTATTTAATTTGTCCATTTCTCCCAAGTCTACAAATAACATGTTAAATTGTATGCTAGCTTTTAAACACAAATCTTCTTAAGCATTAACTTGGCGTTTTTATGCATTTTTAAACATTTTGGCATTCAAGATTTAGCATAGATAAACAACATCAGAATTGAAGAAACTAAACAGGAAATATGATGATGCCAGGGAGGTGTTAATAGGCTGAAAATTATATTCTCGTCTGTTTAAAGAAGGAAAAATGAGCAGCAGGGGTAAATAGCAGGATGAAGGTACCACAGAAGACAAGAGAAAAAAACAAATAAATAAATAAAAAGAAAGACACTTTGAAAATGCATGAGTTGCACTTACCACAGGACACTTTTTGTGGCGCTGGTGGTGGAGGCAGAGGATGACTTTGCCTGCTTGTTTTCTTGGACTTACGGCTCCAGCCATTTCCCCTCTTCTTCCTCCGCCTACTTGCACATGGCACAGCCACAGGAGTGTAAATACCTGACAGAAAACATATTGACTGAGTTCAGGGATGCAAGACAAAAATAACAGCAAAGGACTATTTTTTAGCTTTTCATCGAAATTTTACTGCTGATATTTGATCACAACTTTCAACAAGAAAAATCCCTGTTAAGATCATGGTGCGTACACAGCGTTCTTCCCCACACAAGACACCGATCCAAAAAAAAAAAAAGGTTTTAACCACCAAAAATTATTTTTTAAATATTATTATTTTAATTAGGATAATAATCACTGACATATATAATAGTCAGAAATACACAAAAGGCACCGATTTATGTGGGAAAAAAGTAGCAGCTTCCATGCCTTAATTTATATTTTGCATAAAAGCAGTCAATCAGGCTAATTCTGAACCACAAAAGAATCTGGTACACACACACACACACACGTTTTCAAATCATCATTAATGAGCTTGAAGACACTTAAGAACGTACTTCAGTTTGGCCAAATACTAAAGAGCAGTAAACTTACCAGTTTCTAATTGATGTGCGAAAGATGTAAGAGGAGTTTCGGTCTCCCTGCAGCTGCTACTTATTCCAGAAGTACACACCGACTCTGTGCTTTCTATCTCATACCTCTGTCCAATTCTCTCTGGAGAAACTGAAAAGCATAAAAAACACATAATGGCAAACTATTTGAGATCAACTACAGCAGAACATAATCTCAAGATCCTCACCTGTCCTCCTTTTCTTGTGGGACACTAAGGGTAGCAGGTCATGACGGGTAAGGACTCTTAGAAGTTGCAGTAGTGGTGCCAGGTTTCCATCACTAAAGTATCCTCTCCTCTCGAGCTGTAGCAACAGCTCAAGGCCACTATTGGGTTTTGGGTCCAAAAAGGGCTGCTGTGACCCCGTAGGCTTTAATTGCTGCCATGCTTTTAGTAGCTGTGGACTTGGGGCCACACCTGGATCATCTGGATTGTCCTCACGGGGTTCAACTGTCCAGCCTGCGGGATCGAGAGGATGTGTCGCGGAGCAAGTTTCATTCAGAAGTAATGACAGGACTTCAATGTCAGTCTCGGTCAGCTGAGAACCAACTACTTCAAAGACTTCATGGAGAGACAACATCCCATAGTAGTTGAGGCACTCTGTTTCATCCCAGTACAGTGAATCCCTGAGTGGGTACCCTTGATGATGCACTGCAGCCATGGTCAGGATTTGGCTATGGACCTTTCCCACGTTTCAGCCAGTGATAAGACTACAAAAACAAATAGAAGAACAATTACTATTAAAGTTTTTTGATGTCTAACAAGATACATCTGAGTAACCATATAAACCAGATAAGTAGGGTTGGGTACCGAGCTGGTGCTTTTGAGGGAACCAACCAAAATATGTCAGTGCTACTGTCAATCAGCACCAAATTCGGGTACCAGAAAAAAAAATCTGGGTTAGAGAAAGAAAGAAAGCAAGATGTCAATAATGCTACATACTGAAGAGGAACAAATGACAGGGCAAAGGTAGCGGTAGAATGCTGAAAGCATTTTCAGGTGTGGTTACATGTTTTTTAAAAACTCTCTCTAACACTTGTAGTGCAAAGTCCAAAGCAACACATCTAATCTGCATTTACACCTGGTCAAACAAAAATAGAGCTAAAGCTGAAGAGTGTGCCATATTTTCTAGCCTGAAAGCCAAATTCACTAGAGGACCTGCAGCTTTAACTCTAGCGTAATTGTAGCCAAAGTATAACTAATCGAACCAATGGATGATGAAGCTTTTAGTGAGACATTGACATCTTCTTCAGGTAAAAACTAGGTAGCTGGACAATATGTCAGAGAAACGGGGCTGTTTTCACTGCATTTGTTGACATTTTTACTTTTCAGTACACATAATGCATTGTACTCAGCGTTCCTGTAAAGGCTGCAATTCTCATTTAACAGGCTTGACCTCGAGTTCCTTCCATGTTCTATACTCCTACTTTTAATTGCATTACATACACTAAACAATGTCATCTGTGTCGCTGTTTAAGCTATAAAACGCCGCTCCAACAAATCCCGTGTAGCTACATATAAACTGCATTAACCACTAAACTGTATTCATCTATAAAACATAGCAAGCCGTTTGTGCCATGTAACACAGTCAATGATCATGTTGGCGTAATACTGCAGCGTTACGCCCGTTCTCTAGTCTCTACCATTATATGGCTGCATCAGCTAGCTCAGCAGTCCTTGCCATTTTCACCATTTTCACCCTCAGCTCGAAACAGTTTTTAAACGCGTAACGGAGAACCCCCTTATAACCACTTTATTTCCATTCACGCTCAGAAACGTACACTAACCAGTTGGAAGCCAAAGATATTAGCCGTTCTTCAGACGCCCAGTAACAACCGGTGGAGCAAAATTTTCCCCTTTGACAAGTTATGTAACCAGTCACGTTTATCTGTGGAAAAAAGCATAACAAACATCAAGAACTGCAATGCAAACAGCGGTTTAGCCAAATAACAAACCTGAAATTAACAGGTGTGCTACATTTCTATATACGCACTGAAACATATAACAGTAATTATAAGATTAAAATATATGTATATATTTTTCCTCTATATGCATTACCGATAAATACAAAGAACAGAAATGGATATCGCTTGCTAGCTACTAACGTTAGCTTACTTCAGCTTTAAATTGGCTGTAGTATCGACGAGCATTGGGTCACATACATGAAAGCGTGAAAAAAGCACCAGTAGATTAATATTCAAAGCATTTTAACGGGATAATAATCAAGAAACCCAAAGTAACTGGGGGCGACTCACCTCCGGGTGGGTTGAATGATCTAGTAACTTCCACAGCAACGTGCAGTTCTGCACTACGTCAACGCTGAGGAATTGACCAATCACAGCCCCCTGACTTCCACGGCGACACCCAGTCACGTTTTTGCTCTCGCTGATCTTTTGAACTGATCTGAAGACAGTTTTTCATAAACAGTCACTTTATCGTATTGATCAAGTCAGTAAAGACAGCTGATTCAAGGCCGTCCCCCCCCCCCCTTTGTTTTTTTTTTCGTTTTACTTTTTTTGTCTTAGCTTCCACATGAAAAACAAAAACAAAAACAAATCAGTACTTTAAGCGAGCTTTGCAGCGTAGTGTCCATAAGCATATAAGCACAAGAATATGTACTGCAGCAGGCTACACCCAAACGTAGCAGAGGGAAAACTGCTGGATGCTGTCAGTAGGTGGCGGTGTTTGGAACCAAGGCAGCTAGGAACAACAACAAGGAAGGCAAATAAGAGCCACATCATATCCGTAAACTAAAACAGCAACAAAAGGTCTGAGGCAGTCCCATTAAACTCATCTCCTGTTGTGAGTATATGTAATTAAACCATTGTAAATTTGGCAGTTGATATTGTTCATTTTTATTTCGGTTCATTTTATTTAGGTGTGTAAAGTTGGGCTACGATAAAATCATAAATCCACTTCGACTGGAGTGGTTATTAGCAGAGAAGCTAGCTGCGACAGAATTTGAACAACAAGAGTTATTAAGAACAACTAGGAGTTATGATGGACTACATACCGGGGTTTAGAAATGTCATTCAGTTAGGATACTTGACAAATTAAAAATAAAATAAGTGAGTATTCCTTGGAAATGTTGTCGAATATCCGGGCGTATGTTTAATGATGTGGCATTGACCAAGCCCTTTTGCTGACGAACATTTTCCTCTGCCTACTGTTGCTAAGCTCGGTCTTTTGTGTTGAGTGTTGTTTCTTCAACCTCTGGGAACGACAGGACTGAGAAATGCAGGAATATAAAAACTGGTGTTGGTCACGAACTTCATTCTACACTGGCTGACCTGTTTATAAATACTTTAGTTAACCATTTATATGGATATAAACAAAGAGAGGGAATCAATTAAGTGGTGCCAGAATGGTACCCTTCTTCTCCTTTTGACTGTTCTCTTTAGGGGTAACCACAGCAGATCAGATTTCCTCTATCTCACTGATTATATCCTCCACATCCATGACCCTGAGCCTCCACTCCTTCCAGCTTCACTGTTACTCTGCCTCACTTTCAGTCACATGTATTCTATCTTACTTCTACTGAGCTTCATGCCCAGATTTTGGTGTTATAATATGATGGTTTAAAACAACTTATGTTGCTAAATATAAACGTCTATTGGGAGTCAACATCATAAGTATGTGTAAAATTGCATAGCAGGATTTTTTTTGTGTGTATATAAAAACAAATTGGCACCCCTGAAATAAATTTAATCTGGTTTGCTAATTGAGGTTTATTATAGTCAAGCTTAAAATACTTTTTTAATGAGCTGCTCAGGAATAACAAAAAATAAAAGGCATTGGCAGCAAAAATATGAGTCAGAGAATCATAACTTTAAACCTATATGAGTCTTACTTCATCCACCAGTGTTGTTGTGTAGGGGAAGAAAGCTTTTTTTTTTTTCTTTCAACCTTATCTTGAGACCAAGTCAGTTTGATTGTAGTGTTTGTTTGTTTTTTATCTTTTGTCTTTTTGAATCTTGGAAGATTTTACATTTTGATGAAAATTAAAATTTGATAATGAATCAAAATAACTGCCTAACTTCCTAGAATCAAAATAACTGTGGCATTTCAACATTTCTATCCATTGGTGAGATTTGCTTCTAGAGGGACTTGAGAATTAGTGATGGAAATGTTTTACAACTGGTATTTACATTCTGTGTTTTCTTCCTTGCAGTTGTCTGACAGCAGACTGTGTACATGCCATCTGGAGTGCCAAAGGGGGAGAACTGTCAAGTGGACATGGACAGCAAGGCAGGAGATCTGTTCACAGCTGAGGATGCTCATCCCACAGGCACAGGAGGCACAGGAATCCTGGCAAAGTATGAGTTTAAATGTGTTTGTCTATCTCAGATTTATCACACAATAGAGCTGACATGTGCTTCTGCATCTGTTATACCTGCTACTAATGTTTGTAAGCTTAATGAGCCACCAAGTGATAATATAAATTTTGCACATGTCATAACTCCTCTTAATGTTTCTGGTTCTTAATGTCTTCATCTTATTTCGTAGGCTCTGGCTTCCCAAAGGCATCTCAGCTAGCATGGCTAAAGAGTGGTTCGACAAGCGCCGATTATCCATTCGACCTTGGGCCAGTTTTGTAGACCAGCGCAAGTTTTCAAAACCCCGCAACTTTGGAGACTTGTGCAAGAGGGTGGTGAAAAATGTGGAAATTTACAACAGCAACTACACCTTCATCTTCTTGGGGCTTATCCTCTACTGCATGTAAGCCCAAAACACGACTTTGTTCGGAGCTCATAAATCTGGTTAGGCCAATGAGAAACGGGGAAAAAGGGAAGCGGTAGTAAAAAAAGAAAGAAAGGAATGAAATTTTCAGCTGATACACTGTAATAAACGATTGGACTGTTGATGTTTCCTCTCTTCAGCATCAGCTCGCCCATGCTACTGATCGCCTTGGCTGTGTTTGCCGGTGCCTTTTACATCATTCACATCAAATCTTTGGAGTCTAAACTGGTTGTGCTCGGTGAGTAAAAGTGTCTCAAATAACTCGGACAATCACATAAATACCTGCTTGTTGAATCACCGGCAAGTAATATAAATGTTTTTTTGAGCAGCTACTTTAAGATAAACCTAGCTTGAATAATTAAACATCAAACTTTAAGTTGTATATCTTTATTCATCTATTTATCTATTTATTACCTCTAAATTGTTGTGTATAGAAATTAAATCAATGGGTTAATGAAGCAACCTATTTCTGCCCGCAAATTATTGTTCTCTACTATTACAGTTCTCAGTAAACCACAAAAGATGTCAGTTTAGTGAAGAATAAGCTAAATTTATGTAAGATTTTAGTTTGAGAAAATAAAACATCTTCATTTTTATGGAATCTTTAATTGCTGTCATAATTTGTGTTCTCAAACCAGGCAAAGAGTTGACTACGCCTCACCAGATGAGCCTGGCTGGAGCCATTTCTCTGCCTGCGTTCTGGTTGGCCGGAGCTGGCGCTGCCGTGTTTTGGGTTCTTGGTAAACCAAACCACATTATACTTGTTCTGTGTTACTCTTTTGAATCTTTGTTTAAAAAAATGTTATTGTGTTTTTCTGATTTTGGAAATATAATTGAACATATTCCACTGCTGTCTGCAATGCTAACATTTCTCTAATAGTGGAACCTAAATCTTGTTCACGCATTTGTAAGAAAAACCTTCTTCTTTGTTACTTTCTCTTCACATCCATTTTATACTGCTATAATTCATCTTCCCAGGAGCAACGCTGTTTGTGATTGGCTCTCATGCTGCGTTTCGTGAGCTGGAGGGATCGGACATGGAAGAGCTCCTCATGGAGCCCGTATAAAGACCAGGCTAAACTATCAGCAGGCGCCGGTTGGCTATCAGTCATCATGTTGACCCTGCAAATATGTTTGCACACAGGAAGAGCTGTTCATATATATGTTCCTTAGCTTGTTAAATTCCCCGTGTTTTAACCCCTTACCATGGTATCAAGAATGTACCTTGTCATGTTACTGACAGCTTTTTGAAGCTCATTTAAGCACATAAATTGCCATAGAACACAAAAATGGATTTCTGAACATAAGTCTAACCACACATTAATGCAGATTATATGCCTTCTATGTTCATTTTAAACCTTGGATGCCTCTGATTTGTGTAAAATAGTCTTTCATTCCTTGCAATATTTCTCAGCTTATATCTTAATGGGCTATCTGTGCTGTGCTCTCTGCTGTAGATATTTGGGCTAATACATTCTCTCTGATTTGAATAATATGTATAAATGTAATCTTTACACTTCTAAAGAGAATTTGTGATTGTTTCCAAAGGAAAGTGCAATTTAAAGCTTTAAAACTGTATCTAATGCTAATGCACAAACACACATTATCATTATTGTTATTATTATTATTATTATTATCATTATTATTATTATTATTATTAGACAAATGCAGGTTTGGTCATTCAGATAGGCTTCTTATATAGATGGCTTGATGATGACACATCTTTAAAGGTCAGTACTTAATCATGGTATTTTACATCGGGTTTATAATTTCCTTGTTAGCATGTATACATGTTTAGCTTGGAACTTGGAGGTGTAACGTCACATAAATGTAAAATACTTTATTGAAATTCATCGTTCGTTTACATTCTGATAAAAGTTGGGTGTTTTGTATCTATATTTTCTCAGTGCAATAAACTCTTAAGGCCAGCTTATCCAATTCTTGCTTTCTTTCTTTTTTATTCAGTATCAAATTAAGTCATATTTATTTCCTCTAAAGTTGCTACTACAGTTGACTTTTGTTTGTGCATGCATAGCAGGAGTTGTAGTGAACTCGGTGTCCCTCGGCAACACTTAGGTCTGTACATGTTCTCATTATTCTGCTCCAGTCTGAATACACAGTGGAATAGGGCACTTCCAGCCCTTGTGGCTCCTCTCCTCTGCCTCCAGTATACCAAGCACCGCAGCGCTCACCAACCCCCTCTTGTCCCCCTTTTCACGTGACCCCTGTGACCCTGTGCTCTGTGACAGCACAGCGAAAGGACCCCATGCTCAGGTTGCCATAGCGATGACCTTGGAGGGCCCCAGTCAGACACACACTCGTCCACAGGAGCACTCGCTTACACACTGCGGCAAAGGCAAGCGATCGATATTCTATTATACGTAGGGTGGCGAGGAGCGGGTTGGGGGGGGAGTCGCACTGCAGTGAGCTCACTGCAGAGACACGGGGGAAATTAGAACGAGGGTGAGAGCGTGAGCGTGTTTGTCAGGGAGAGTGACAGAAAGTGGGTGCGCGTGTGTGTTTGTGTGCGTATGCATGCGTGCATTTGTCATTGGGTAGTGAAACGATTCCACAAAGTTTTTGTCTTTCTCCCTCAAAGGGACGTGTCCTAATTTTTTTCTTTTTTTTTTTTAGTTTTTTGTGGCAAAGTGACCTCACACAAAACCTAATTCTCACATTATAGAGCATTACATTATGTATAATTTATTTGATTTGTGTACTTGGTAGGCAATAAGCAGTTCATTTAAAATATATGACCCCTGTGGCTCAGGGAGGCAGCACGTTTGCAGCCCATTCCCTGAAGGTGACCTGCTTTATTTGCAGAAATGTAGCATATTAATCAAAAAAGTAGCTGTTCCTTCATATAAACACACTGCCTGCACTATTATTTTTCTATCAACTTAAAAGAGATGGCTTTTGGGAAATGGAGCAATAATCCTTTTGTATGTTGGTCCTGCTGAGAGCGAGCCTCATCTCTGAACTCATTTATGTTGGAGTCAGACAATGCTGACACGTATAGAGTGGTTTTGGTGCATTACCTTGGGCTGCTGCCAACTCGTCCCCCTATGGCACTTGAACATTATGCAGTCTTGTAGGTTGAAGTGCATATATTTGCAACACTAGATGGCATCTCATCCTAAAATTCTTATTCTGTCATATTCTGCTGAGCTATACTCTCATATGCATAAAGCTGTACTGCATGGGCAAGGGTTATGGTGTTTTGCATAGATTTCATCATGAGGAAATTGCTTTATTACAAATTTGAATATATTTGCTGAAATCAAATATAGGTGCAATATTCAGGGGTTGTAGTCTACTAAAATTGTTAATGAATGCCAAATATAGACAGGAGGTAGAAGTAATATGATGTCAACTGGTCAGTATTCATGAATGCAGGCGACAAACTGCCAGTTCAAAGATGCAGTTCGGTGCTTCCGGTGGAATCTATTGAACACAAAGTAATTTTTCTTGCAGGATTTGTTATTGTGTGTGCACCCAACGCTGATAAGTAGCACTCATTTGAGCCAAAAATATAAAATAAGAGAAAATATGAGCAACTAAACAAAAGTAAAGTTTTCTGTGGTACAAAAAGTAAATCAGACAAAGACACGCAGACAGATCTAGGTTGTATTAAATGTCTAGATGTTTTATTGGTGTTGGTTTCATTTATTTGACACACATGTTCTACTAGTTGTGTATTTTTTTTTTTTTAATTCTCAACTTTCAACCCATTCAGCCACCTAAGACGGACCCAGCCCGAGGCCGCTGGCCCTTCACTGGTCTCCAACACATACATGCACACAGACCCGGGCACATGGGCTTATCATCTCCACTCACCACTCCACAGCACACTTCACCACATCATACCGGCACGCCTGCAGTGACAGGAACCACAAAGTCTTGGTTGGCGACTTCTGTCTTTTGGTAAAAACACAACTTAATTACCATAAAGCCCTGCTTTGCTGTTACATGTTCGAATAGCCTCCTGAGAAACCAGCAAAAGTAACTGAAACCAAATCAAATACAAAAAGAGAGACAGATACAGTGTCTCTCACTTTTTTTTCCCTACCTCACCAATTTTGTTGATCGTCCTCATGAATGTCTTTCTGGAGCTGATGTTCAACATTTTTTTTCCTTTATTGTTTCATTTAAATTCAGTATAGAATTATATAGATTTCCTAGAACACACAGAAAGATTGAGTTGTATTTACCAACTTGGGGGGGAGGGAGGTGTACTGTAATAGCTATTAACGAGGACAATGGTTCACACAGTGCACACGAACGGAGACAAACGGGGCAGGAGGGAAGGGAGGGGAGGGGTGTGAGATACAGAGAGGGAGGGGCGGTGGACGGGACGCCGTGCGGTGTGCTTCAGTGCGCCTAAATGAGGATAAGTCGTTTTCACACACCTCCCCTCCCAACTTTGAAATAAAAAAAACAAAACAACTAAAATCATCAAAATTGCCCCCCTACCCCACATATTAAAAAACAAACAAACAACATTGGACATTAAGGAACAGAAGAGGAGGAAAATGGACGCGGTGAGAATGCCAGGAAAATGACCACTCCAATGGTCCTCCACAGACAGGAGGCGAAAGGTGGCAGTCGAAGTAGTGCCGGTGATGGGATCTCACTGTGTGACGTGTATATCTGTGTGTGATTGGAGGACAAGCAAAGGGTTGGCGAGGAGGTGAAAGAGGGGACAAAGGTGAAAGACGATGTTGGTGAAGAGGAGAAGAACAGGGAGGACAAGGAGCTGGATGGGCCTTTTTTTGCAGAGCATAGACACTCCCTTTGTATCATTAGCTCATTCAGATCTACATACACAATATGCAGCTGCCGTTTGGTAGATATATTGGTTTATGTACACAGCTGTGAGAGAACACATGCAAAGAGTATCATAGGAGGTGGGGAGAAAGAGGGCAGGTCGATGTAGAAAGTTGTAAAGGTGCTTTTGCTGTTTTTAATCTTTGGGGCAGTTGTGATGAAAATTGCTTCAAAGCGCTTTTTGTCTTTAAGGGGGCGGGACATCTGGAGATGTGTTTTGCCGAGGATGGAATGACCGGGGGAAGAAACAAGTGGAAGATGTGAGGGGCTTGAGCGAAAGTGCTCCAACGATCAATAGTACGTCTCCCTTTCCACCCAACCTGAAGCACAAATAGTAGAGAAAAAACACAGTAAATAAACAGTGCTTTTAGTAACTTGGGAAATTATTTTGATATTTAGACCCTACTGTCACCAGTTAGCTTAGCGTTACTTAACTGCTGCTTAATAATTAATAAATTTCTGTTTTTGTTTATAATCTACAGAAAAAGTTAAACTACTCTCATCTTAGGCCCGATGAACCAAAGACCTTTAAAGAAACGCCCACTTAAATGAAAAAAAAGAAAAACTTCGCTCACCTCCAGGGTTCCGGCGAAGGATGAGTTTTCGAGCTTCATCGTAAACAAAGATGAGAAAACTATAAGGAAATGCACAAAACCACCAGGTAGGCCTGTGGAGAGAACGAGAGAACTGCAATCAAGTAACCAGACAACTTGATCTTTCAATGTATTTATCTGTGTGTTGCTGAAACTCACTTTAGAGGATACATCCTGAGTGCCACATCCATGCCTGGGCAGTAGGACAGGAAGGCAGCCAGGGCTGTTTCTTCAAACAGGCCAAAGATCAAGATCTTGTTCCTGCGTTTAGAAAAGCCACATATTAAAGCCAAAAACATATCTACATAGATACATACATACACCTCTATTAGTATAATCTAGATTTTTTTTCTATGCTGATAAGATTGGCAGAAAAGACAACTATAGTGCAGTGAATAGCTCTTTGACTTACTTCATGCCTTGCTGGAAGACAGAGTTGCGCCTGGTCTTGCAGATGATGAGATCAGCCCACTGCACTACCACAATACTGACAAAGAAGGCTGTGTGACATGTAAACTCCACGATCTTCCTCTGTTCATATGTCTGTGAAGGCAGGAAAGAACCATAATAGTAAGATGTAGTAGCAAAATGTGAAAACACAAAATTTGCACCTACTACACACTTACCCATTGCTGGCCATAGCTGTCTTCCAGGTCATTTAAACTGCGGTCGTCCCAGTTGAGTCGGATGCCTACTAGCTGAGAGGGCAGGAAACCATTTTCAGCCAAGATGACAAAGTAGGCGAAGAATCCTCCCAGAGCCTGGATCATACCTTAAGAAACATGTACACACATCGAGATTGAGTTACCAATTTTTAAGTTTTCTGATTTCCAAAATCGAGTTTCCCCCCTAAACACCGAGGACAGCTCCAAAGATAATCCAACTATTGTTTTTTGTGAACAAAAAAAAAAAAAAAAAAAAAAGAGGGGGATAAAGTGATTTTTACAACAAAATGACTTCTAGGCAACTCAGATCTAACTTCAATCCACATCAAAGACAATTCACAGCCTGGATCAACAGTCACAATCTTCAGTTCACCCACCAATTTGTCCATAGGCAATGCTGATAAGCCTCTCATTCACCAGCTTGTCCCTGGCTGGGTTCCTAGGCTGGCGCTTCATGATGTCGCTCTCAGCTGCTTCATAAGCCAGAGAGATGGCTGGAACCTGAGAGTAGAAGAAGAAGACAGTATGAGCTGTATGTGAGCATAATGCTGCATTCATCATACTAAACAAAGAGTCTTTTTAAGCTCTTTACCATGTCAGTTCCCAGGTCAATACACAGGATTGTGATGGTTCCCAGTGGCAATGGGATGTTGACTATGATAAAAAATAGGAAGGGGGTGATCTCTGGGATGTTGCTGGTCAAGGTGTAGGCAATGGACTTCTTAAGATTATCAAAGATCAAACGACCTAGAGGGTAAAACAAAGAAAAAAAAAGAAACAGTAGACAGTTCACGTCACATTCTGTCCAACTCTGACATCTCAAATGCAAGTGGATGATCGGGAACTCT